TTTTACTGAATTTATTTTTCCCCTTTTTTATGCACTAGAGATTTCTAATTTTAAGATAGTTTTTAGTGAATATCATAAGATAAAGGAATGCAATTCAACTCATCATACTTTGTCACAAAATTAAGATTTATACTTGAAAGGTAAGGACTAAATTTGCGGCGGTTTTCGATGAGAAATGTATGCGTTGACCAATATCTCATTCAACCGATCAGCAATAAAGTTTAAAGAGGCTTGACGCCAGGAATAAAACTATCATTTGAATAGCTAGTAGAACATGATAGGATTTATAAGTAAGGCTCTTTTAAATTAAGAGCAAAAATGGCACAATTTAAATATGATAAATATATGATAGGTCAGCAAAATACAACACTGACCTCCAATGTTCCTTGTGATTTCTATCATAAAAAATCAGTGACGTACTTTAATTTTAAAGCCGACAATTTTCAAACTCTTTTTTTAAATTTCACGTCGTACCTCAGATTAAATAATCAGACGGTATATGTTCAAACTTCTTAATTGCTCGTAATTGTTTCAGTAGTTTGTTTAAGAAAATGTACACAAATAAAAGATACAAATCATATTTGTTTTTCAAGAGCATGAAGAGTTGAATGAGAAATAAACAGTAGTTTTAATATTTACATTATAAATAGTTATCTAGCATTTTTATCACTTAGCATGTCATGTACACGTATATCAATAAAATTAATAGCTTTGTTTTAACTTCAGGGTCAACGATTCCAGAAAGGAATAACCATACTTCAAATAAGCCTGTGGCATTCCATACATTTTTACAACATCATGTCTCCAGTCTAGCTCAAAATGAAATCATAAAATACGAGACGGTCCTCACAAACGTCGGCAGTGGTTATAATCCAAAAACTGGTATATTCACTGCTCCAGAGGCCGGAGTTTATTCTTTTAACTGGTCGTTCCTTACAGTTAAAGGTGGCACAGCATATATCGGGACGTATGTGGATGGTAAGCAGTTTGCTTTTGCTTTGATGCAAGACCAAGGCAGTAAATGGGAAAGCACTACGGGCCATATGGTTGTCTCTTTGAAGAAAAATAGTAAAGTATGGACTCAAAATAATTCTAAAACCACTCATATTCGATCCCATTATACGTATTTTTCTGGATTCAAGATCTACAACTATATTTAAAAAGAGACACCAAAAAGATATTACCATATGTAATATTTATGGAAGAATAAAAGCAAGGTCGGCATAATGTATTTTAAAGTTGTTGTTTTCTTCTGAAATGTGAAAATAATGTTCTAATTTATGAAAGTGCACCATGATATTCCAGAAGTGTTCAAAAGATATTCCATTACAACAAAGAATTTTAAACGTTTTGAAATACTACATGATTAAGTTTAAGGCACACAGTTCTAGATAAGGATACAATGTACAACAAAAGTTAAATTCTCCCAAAAGTATCCAGATACATATTGTGTATTCAGTACACGAAAGCAGCCATCAAGGAAAAGCAATGTTGTTTAACAAAACCCATGCACATATACATGCTTTTTTTTCAATTAGTATAAATCATTATTATGTAAGTTGCAAGCAAATGCAAAGAGATAGAGATTTATTTTGAACAGTATAAAAAAAATGTAAATTGTCTTTAAAATGTCAGGAACATAGTTTATCTGTATATAAAATGCATTTAAAATTATTATCACTACTGTCTTCTTATAATTTTTTTATTACAATAGAAAAAGTGATGTTTAGACCAAAATAAATATGTAGTCATAACACAAAATTTTCATCTATACGAAAAACACTTAGAAAGATTTAGAAAGGCACTACTAACATGTACACTTAATTCCATGCTTAATTTCTAGCCAATTGTTGCAGCTCAGACAGTTTTTAAGAAATAAAGATTTAAGCCAGCAGAGCAATTGCTATTCATAACGCCATGCTCACTGAATAATCGTTGTTAATTACTTATATATGCATTCTTTTATGTTGATAAGAATATTGGAGGAAATCCTGACTTTCATAAGCATACGGCTGCTCAGTAAAAACAAAGACTTGGCTATATATAAAATCAGTTTACCTGATTAATGCACCTTAGTATATTTTCTTTAATAAATCACATGCAATTTATAAAGTATTTGCCTCTCAACCACAGTTATCTGGATACAAGCTGTGCCTTCATCCCATTCTCTTAAATTTGTTTTGATACAGTTGTGACGTCATCGTTCAAAGTTATTGAAACCCTCTGAGAAAAATCAGTAATTTAACATTTAAGGCCTAAGGTTAAAGGAGAGAACGCTTAAATAATGATTATAACTCTATGATTGTTTTGGTTCTTAAATTAATGTTTAAGAGCTGAAATCGTTTTTGAAATAGATATACTATTAAAGAAAGTTGGGTGTTGCTAAAACGCGGAACGGAAAACGGAACGGAAAGCGGAACGGAACGGAAAATTTTTTGTCAAACAAATAACATAGATTCAATATAAATCAGTTAAAAGAGCAATATTTTTGTTGTAAATGTCATTTCTAATCAAAATTTATTGTAGACTATTATACATTAATGAGTTATACACACTCTCCGTGGAAAAAATCCCTCCCCCCCCCCCACACACACACACACGAAATAGGATTTTCGTGTTTTGGCAAAGGACATATCCCCCCTCTTTTTTTTTGCTTGTCAAATTTGTTGTATGTTGAAAATTTTTTCTGACTCCTACCCCCTCTTTTAATGTCAATGTCTGAAAAGACAAAAATATCCAGTTATGCTATTCAGATTATGCACGCAGTGTCGAATTCGCGAGTCATGAAACGGGGTGGCAGTGTTGGGTCTGTGTAGGGGCCAAAAGCCACATTAAAAATTGATTTATTAAACCTTATGTACATTTTGGACACAAAAACAGGGGGGGGGGCGACTTATTACACTTTCTCATATCTTTCCGATGAGCAGTAAATCAAACTCATTTTTTACGGGGTCATTCATATACGCCCCCCACCAAACATGCACACATACATGTATGTGCTGCAAACAAACAAAATTTAACTTAAATGAATGCAAAAATTCTGCAATCTGCATTATATCTACCACAAATTTGTCTATCCAGAAAAGGACTCTATTTTGAATAAAATTTTAACAACCAGTGTGTATAAGAGATGTTTATTCGAGCTTGCCGTAAAGGTTTGCCCTAAACGTAATCTTAATAATTTTTAAAAACATTTTTTGTCTCTTTCCATGGTTTATTTAGGTATCAAATATTTGCCCCCCCCCCAGTCATAACCTTTTTACTACGGAAATGTTCGTTCAAGTTCACATTTTTACCCTTTTTGTGAATATAATAAATGTAGTAAGTTAGTGTAAAACAAATAGTACTGAAAAATGTTGGGAGTTGGAACTTATCCCCCCCTCTCGAATCAAACAATTGTCTTCTTTTTGTGTTTTTTTTCTTGTCAAATACTTTTCCAGTTCGTTCCCCCCCCCCCCCACCGTTGTCAATTTTGATTCTATGTGACTGCTATGTTTTTGTAAGTAAGAGAATGAGCATGACAGAATCAACTTTATTTAATAGTTGGGGATTGATTTTGTACAAATGTACAAGATATATCGTTTATGATAAAAGAACTACGAACGATTGTATTGTTCTCCCGCCTACCTCTAAGTCAATTCTCAAAAGTTAACATATTCGAATGATTTTCAAAATTTTTATAGATATTTATATGAATTTTCATAAAACGTTACTTATTTGGGATACCAAAGAGAGATAACTCTATTTTTTTGGTAAAACTTGAGTTTTTCATTATAGAAGTCAATGGAAAACGGAAAATATATTTAAAACATCCCCCCCCCCCGTGAAACAAAAATTCCTTTTTACAGGTAATATGGACTGTCATTTAACAAATTTATGCTAAAGCTTTTTGTGTTTCACGGGGACGTATGTTTATAAACAAAAACACGAAAAAAATGCTGATTTTTCACCAATTTTAAAGCTATTTACAACTAAATAATTGTATTGTATTAATTTGTATATATGTTTTATTTATTTGCGTAAAACATAAGAAAAGATATGAGATACATTTTATCATATTTAATTCAAAATATGGTGATTCTTGAAAGTTCGATTTCACTAGGAAATATCGTCTACCCCCCTTTTTTATAAGAGCTGGAATTTATGATAATTTACAATCTAGCGCTGGAAATAATATGATTAATCAATCACCATAGAACTGTTCTTTGTATTGAACAAAGATTTAATAGCCAAATTGCCATTAAAATTTAATTTAATGCGTGCAAAATGTAGGCGGGAATCAAGAGTTAGAGTTCGTAGTTCTTTGTGTGTTTTAAGTGATTTAATCCAATTTGAAAATAATATATTCCGTTTTCTGTTCCGTTCCGCTTTCCGTTCCGTTTTCCGTTCCGCGTTTTAGCAACACCCAAGAAAGTTTGCTTTTCTGAATGTATAACTTCCAGGCTGAAGCTATAATTGAGTTATGTTTATTTATTATTTATAGTAGAAATCTTAACTTCAATATAGCTTCTTAACCACATATTTAGAAGATATTGGATGACACCATAGCTATTCATAGATTTGCATGTTATCCAACGGACATTTGTTTACTCGCGTTTTTCATTTCCGAGATTAAAGAGTCAAGAAGTATCCCGAACGCAAATATCGTCATTTACAAAAAACAATTGCTGATTGGTCGACCGGGTGTACCAAATCCCAATCAGAACTCGAGAAAAAAAAAACAACTTCTATCAATACAGTATGCCAAGGGTTCATAAGGAGAGTAGCGTATCAGAAACTTAGCTAGCGAAGATGAAAATTTGGCAGTTCTCCTCAAGTTACTATTAAATAGATAGAAGTTGACAAAAAATAGAAAAGCAGTTTAATTAAATATCGTTAAATGATGATGATCGAATTAGTTTTCATAGTTGCAAATTATTTAACATAAAGAGTATCTTTCTTTGCACATTCTTTGCTATTCTTATAAATCTATTTTTTATCTTTGAAATAAAAAAAATTGGTGTATTTAGGATAAATGTCTTATTTTTTATGTCTCTAGTATAAGAAAACATAAATTTTTTCATATGCAATGAGATCACATATAAGGATGAGTATTCATATGGAGACCTCTAAATGCATGCAACGTGTATCTCTAGTAGGCAAAAGTAGTTTTTTATACATTAAGTTTTCGCATATTTTTATTTGACGAAAGCACAAAACCCCCCAAACCCCAAAACTCTTAATATAACCAAAAAAATCAGAAATACCTTTTTGTAATTTCTATATAAAGATTAGGAAAATTTCATTGTTTGTAACAATAAAATTTAACTTAATCTAATATCCCTTTTTCCACTGGAGGTGGTTATTCCAATTTTTTGAATTTTTGCATGTTCGTTAAAAACAAATCAGATGTTGGAAATAGAAAAATGGAATTCTTTCAGAAACTGGGGATACATAATCAGGAAAATAAAACTAACTATGTATAAAGTTTCGTTAAAACTCAATAATATAAGTTTTCATCTTGATCTTTCTTTGTAACTACAATTTTGCCTTTAATTCCTCAGTTATCCTGTATTCAGGAGAAAACTCTATGAATTCAGTACTGGTTATATCAAGAGGGCAGGTATAAGTCGTTAATATTCCGCCTTGGACTCTCACCAAAACAGTTCTACTATCTTTGATGTCCAATGATAACGTAAACTCATCTGAAAATACGGTCGAATTGGCACCAGTGGACACTTCTTTTTGCCATCTTCCATTTACGAAAGAGTTCAAAACTATTTCATATGATGGATACCGTGGATTGAAATGCAGAATGATATTGTTCCTTTCGCCCATCTGTTGTCTAAAATTTATGGCCATTCCGCTAAAAATGAAATAAGTTATTTAAATATAATATAAATTCATAAAGAAATGGAGAAAGAGAGAGAGAAAAACTTACCCTGGTTTATAATTTCCTTTCTTGTTATATTTCACTCTGAATGTGATGTTTTGGCCGATCTCTATTTGATGTCCAATATGTTTTAGACTGATCTATTTAATCATAAGATGGAAATTAGATAAACTATATAAAATTTTGAGTTGGGACTTATTAACAAGAAATCAAGTAATTGAATTCTTTGTTTACTATTAATTATGACATTAATTTGATAACTGATTGTATACAATTAACACAAAGTTTAAGTAGGGAATAATAACAAAAAGAAATCAAATAATTGATGATACTAGTACCTTGAATTATTTAAAGATAACATTAATTTGATTAGTTAGAGTACATAATCAAATTTCTGTGTACTTGGACTAATTAACGATAAAAATATTTTTTTAATTCTCTGATCAATCAGATAAATTTATGCTGTCATCAGTACAAGCAAAGACATCCTCATCAAATGAATTTATGTAAAACTTTAACAGTTATTACTATCACGTTTTGCAAACCAAAACGTCAGAAGATACTGACATATCCCATCCTTGTATTTTCATCTTCTTTTATATATCCTCTGTGAAAGTTTCCATGTTCTAAATTCAAATAAATAAACACATAAATGCATAGATTTTAAATAAAAATTACTTTTTCGGATACCCACTTAAACAATATCAAGAATCTTAATAATGTGTATGGTACTTGGAGTCTACAAGAGAAAAGTCAATAAAATGAGATTATAATTGAAATGTGATAGATAGAGGATATCTGTATTGTGTGATTTGATATTGGCTTTATCCAACGAGTTGAAATGGTGTATATATTCGCGAGGCTTGCCGAGGTTAAGGTTACAGTAAGAAGGCGGGGCCTAATTTCTACGGGAAATGTTCACTATGACTATGAATATAAGGTCTTCAAAATACCACAAAATTAACTCATTTGCTATTTCAAACAGCTGGATAGCTGTATACTACATACAAACTTACTATAACATGCAGTTTTGTCGTTTGTTAAATCCCACAAAACAGTATATAAACGATTCATCGATCGCAATGCACTTGTCAATGTGACGTCATCTCGCAAAAATGACGCAATTTGTACACAGCGAGAGGCTGATCGAGTCACATTTTGTACAATGAAAAATGTATTTTGTTCTCAAATAAAATATTATTTGCAATTTAATAAAAGACCGTTAACTTGGATGCAAAGTTTATTTTAGTATTTTAATGATAAACTGTCCGTACATTCTCCTAACAAGTGATACTGTTGTGTGTTTGTATGCAGATTCATTGAAAAAGTAATGGAAGGGTCCTTATAAATCGATTTATTGTAAGGGCATACCTTCAATGTATCTTGACAAGTTTTTGCACATTTACTCAAAAAGCATAAATGTATTTGAAAAGTGTTGCGAACCTCATGAAATCTTGCAAATAAATGAATCATGGCTAAATTTAATGTATTTGACCAGCAAAATATTCAACCTGCCGTCCAACAAATTAAATTTTAGCTATTAAAAAAGGGAATCTATATAGGTTCGCAGCACTTTTTACAAACTAGATATAAAGTTGAAAAGGATTATAAATTAAAGTAAGATTTTTAACTTGGTTATGCTCTTGCAATATTGGAATTTATAGATGACCTCTAAACTGCAAGTATAATTGCTAAAATTATGTGACGTCGACATCACGTGACAAGCCTAAATAAAAAAAAAATCAAATTTCCCCGACATATAGATTTAAACCACAATACATTTTTTTTTATATCAGAGAAGTCCTAAAAATAATCGCCCGTCCAAATAAAGTACGTATTTTTTATCTTAAAAAATCGCCGATATTTCCATTCGTAACCTTAACTGTGCTGCGTAGAACATATTTTTGAAGTCTTGATCGCGAAAGCTTATCATCGCGAATAAAGTTTACCTGCGATAAATCGCGAAATTAAGTTATCGCGAATAAAAGTTGGCTTACAGTACTTGATGTGTGTTTAATTAACCCATTACCACAAAGAAGCTGATATCATCCTTTATTCACTTGCGTTTAATTTAATCAATATCCTCCAAATTCTGGGCCATTTATATCAAGATATTTTGTTCCACACCTTCGCTTCATCCACAGGACCTTACTGAACATTCTTTAGCTGTTCAAAAATATTTTCAATACGATGGATGACTGAGAGCAAACGCGATTATCATATATCTCATTTCAGCAACTTCATCACATTATTCAGTATACATCAATAAATATATAGCAGATTTTGAACCTGCTAAATAATACACAAAGCAAAAGACATAAATGATAAAGATACACTTCAAAATTTTCTGTTTTAAAAATACTAATTAACATTCGGTTACCTTTCTAGATGGGCATTGTATCAAAAGAATTGTATATTGACAAAAGTGTGTTTTTTAAGTACATTTAAAATCTGATTTGAAAAAGTTTTCCCTTTGGAGTACACGTGTACTAATAAATTCAATTTTTTTTGCAATGGAGTCGCTTTTGTTAAAAATTGAATGTTGATGGTCTTCAGAACACCTGAATGGTTTTGTTTTGTAGAGAATAAAGAATCAGGTTATTTAAATCACCTAAATTGATTGAAATAAGTCGTTTAAAGAAATCTTAAACAACTAAAACTTGGCATTGACACACCTTATACGAATAACAAAATCAATGTTCCCACTCTCCTAAAGCATGTTTTAGCTTTTAATTAGGAATATACCATATAAGTGTAAATTTTACCAATACGCAAATTAAGTGATTATTCATTAAAAATCGATAATTCATTTTCAGGGAGAAGTAATCACATAAAAAGCTTTCAAGATTAAAACACAACTAATAGACAACAATATTCAATTTCCGCGATCTAAGAATCCTCTCTAATAATATCAAAATGAAATCCTTAATTGCTACAAATTCTGCTTATACGGTATAAGGATACCAAACAAACATTGATCCAGGAGAAAGATCTTTCTTCATTGAAAATGTTCAAGGTTTCGTCAAAGGTCAACATGTCGAAAAATTTATTTTTGAAAAAGCTCCAAAATCTGTGGTTTATAAAGTTAAAACTTTTACAATTGATAAATATATTATTAATTAACAGACAGAAAGTATCACTTGATAACAAATATTCACTTGAAAAAATATTTATCAAGATTTTTTTCTAAATGTATTTTTCTTGAACAAATAATTAATTCCATCTATTTAGTAAAAACCATTATTGCAGAAAAAAATATATTTATCAATGAGGGGCAAGCTCGACCTCGACAGCTTCTGGTAAGTTTTTTTCCTTGTTTATTTTGCCCAAGTAGTAAGACTTGAAACCGAAAGTATATACAGTGCAAATGGCCGATATTATCGGGGTCTTGTCTTTATACATTTTATGCTTTCAAGAACAGTCTTTCAGAGACCATCAAAGTCCAATTTGCCCTCATTGATAAACATGTATTATTTCCTCAATGATTGTTTTCACCAAAAGGACAGAATTATGCAAATGCATTTTCTTTAGATATGCAGATTTTTGATAATTTTTTTTTCTGAAAAAAATCCCATTTTTTAAAATATATATTTTCAAGTAATATTTTGTATCTGTTAATTAGTGACATTTTTCTTATATTCAATAAATCAAGAAATTAATAAAGGTACTGATTTTTATGAAAAAAACTTATCTAAAATACCTGCTTTATCGATATTAAGACCATATCAATCCATAAATCTAGTCATCAAATCAGACATTTGTCGATAATATATCCTGAAATTATTTAGAAACAAACGTGATTGAAAGCATGTTTTTTTTAAATTAATTTTTGCTACAAAATTGATGTACCTTTCGGCTTTCGTTTTAGGATCCAGGGAAAAAGAGGGGAATTTGAGATATCCCGATCTCGATCTAAATTATATTATATCTAACCCAACATAAATAGCAGCAACAAAATTTTCCTCATAAAATAAGCGCATCTACCATTTGAATTCATAAATGCTATTAAACAATAGGATATAGGAGCAAAGCAAACATGGACCTTCAAAATATAAGAGGTTGGATCAGGTACCGGGGTCATGGAAATGGTAAATCAATTCATAATAGTATGAGCTGTGAATATCTCTAATAAATTTACAAATAAAATGTGCAGATTTACTACCGAAATAATCACGTCAAAGAAATCAGGAAATGTTTGAGAAAGTCATAATTAGACTTGTTAAATGTCAATTAATGATTGCAGTAATTTGTTTAAGGAATGAAGCTTATTTCAACTTATATCATACGATATAACATAACTTGGGGCAGTTTACGCCATATAAACCGTGAAGCGGTTTATAAAAAAGCGTAAACTGCCCCAAGTTTTGTTATATCGTATAATATAAATTGAAATACGCTTCATTACTTAAAATTTAATTTCAGTGTAGACAATGAGACAACCCCCACCCCCAGAATAAGGCTTCACATTGATTAAATTTTAAAAGTGACGTTAAGTCGAGTTTTTTTGATGTAACTAAAAATTGTAACGCAGGCAAGTTATGTCATACAAAATGGATAAAATCTTTTATGCAATCAAATGATGTTTTACAAGTAAAATTAAGTTATTTAAATATAAAAGTTAAAAGTCATTGTGGTGTTTTGCAATTAAAGGCTCTGCTCAATCAGCATAATGCTAGCTCACAGGACGAAAGACCACCTTTAAGGTAGTCTGATCCTCAGGTTTATAAAATAAGCAGTTAAGTAATCAGAAATACTCATAAAAGTATCTCTGAATCCACAGAGTTATGTAAATTTAACCACAGTATTTCTTTTAATTTAAAGATTAAAGTTAATCATATAATATAGGGAAAATCGTCACATCTCCAATATTTTTGCAGAAAAAGCGAATCGGAATATCAGCTATGCATTTCCTAATTGCAAATTGATCAACAAATATATTTTAGGTTAAAAAACGATAGGTAGCCAGGCATTCAGAGAAATTGTGATGATTTTTATACTTATTTGGTATTTTTTGTCTTCTATTTCTGTCATGTTTAAAAGGCTTTTGCTATCATTGCAAGACACCACAAATGCTTCTCATTTCATATCATGCTAATAATCATTGGTATCTAAGGCTGGATTCAAGAAAATGTTATTTCTCTAAAACTATATTATTTTTTTTTTTCCTATTATAGGGTACCATTTTCAACTTTAATAAGACCTTTTCTAAAACTTCCAAAAATCTTGAATCTTATAAAAATGAATATAATGGTGAGCTAATGGCGTTTAAAGAAGTTTATTCCTTTAAGCCACCATTAAGTTGCAACTTATAGGTGCTTAATGTCAAAACTTCATTAAGCTTCTATTTAGCCACCTTTAAAGAGGCTGGGCGGTCTTGTCCATTTTAAAACTATTTTTATCTCCTTTAGAGGAAGAGCTCCATAAAAAAATGTAATCAAATGATCAAATTTCAGAATTAAAATTAATGATTTTTTCTTTTCCAAATGATAGTTGGCAGCTTAAGATATCATATTCTAAAATTTAAGTTATATCTGGCGGTTGATAAGAAAATAATTTGTTGACCGCCTAGCCTCCTTAAGCTGAGCTTAATGGAGACTTAATGGTCAAACCTCATAGAATTACTTTTAAGCATCTTATATCAAATCTTTGAACTAACTTGTTAAGATATTTCAATATCATTTATGCAGAAATTTCAATTCATAATTTCGTCTCGATCGTCATTTCAATATAACATTCATGTCAACATGCATGAACTCGAGCACTGAGAACAAAGTTAGTTAATAGCCACAGGTTCTTGCTCTCGGTGTCTAATAAATATTTATTTTAAAAAAATATTTTGAGATATCACATCAATACGAAAAAATTATCAATTCATGATAAAAAAAATGCCCGTCCACCTTTGATATATGTACCTTATAATTCAGCACTGTGAAGAAAGAAAATGAACGTTTAACCTGTGTTGTTTGTTACGTTAGACAATGAGTTCCAAGTAAACATCGATGCTGTCTTAAACATTTTAGTGCAGTGGTTTCCATATAAATTTCACTCGCAGGCGATTTTGGTTTAATCCCGGTTTTGTCTGATTATTTTGTCATTTTGTAGCTTAAAATACCATTTCGTCTTTTTATATGGCATCTGGCCTTTTCTTTTTAAATTTTGCGCTATTTTTAAATCTACATTTTTAAACATCTTTAAGATTAGAAAAACTGTTTTTAAGTATCAATCTTATATTTAAGGTGCCTTTGTTACAACCATTTATAAAGGCGAAAAGGTAAATTATTTCTAAATGCTCACTACAATTATCTAGTGAAATATGTCTTTTTGCATTATGTTTTATTATATATTCGTTTGAAAATTAGGAGCATAGATGCAGTCCTTCTTAATATTAACATAAAAATAACCAAAAATACTTTTTTCATTTCTATAAATAGATTAGAGGAATTCCGTTGTTGGAATCAATGAACATCTTCTGCTTGAGTGACCATACCAATCAAATTCTTCTAATTTTTTTTCCAGTTCATCATGTTATCCAATTCTTTTGTACAATCTTTGCATATTTCCTTAAAACAAATAAGATTTTTTAAGCAAAATATTTATTTGCCGATAATTCATTTTTTTCAGAAACTAAGGATACGTTTTATGAAAGTGAAAACACAATTTATAAAAAGTTTTGTTAAAACTTCATCATTTCAGTTTTCGTCTTTAACTTTCTTACGAACTGCAAATTTGTGAATTTTCAATTGTCTCTTCAATAAGCCTGTATTCAGGAGAGAACTCTATGAAATTTGTATTGCAAATATCGATCGGGCAGGTATAAGTGGTCAATATTCCGCCATTGACTCTGACCAAGACATTTCTTTCATCTATGATGTCCAATGACAACGTAAACTCCTCAGAAAATACCGCTTCCTCTGCATCAGTGATAACTTCTTGTTGCCAATTTTGATTTACAAACGAATTCAGAACTATACTATATGCTGGATGTCTTGGGTTGAAATGCAGAATGATATCGTTCCCTGCACCCATCTGCTGTCTAAAATTTATGGCCATTCCGCTGAAAAGTAAATATTAGTATTACAAATTGATGACAATATGGAGAGAGAGAGAGAGAGGGGGGGGGTGGGAGAGAGATGAAACATATGGAGACAAGGATTATTATTCAAAATGAAATGTTCATAAAACAATACAAAATAGTAGCAGAGCAAACGAGGACTCCCAAAATATCAGAGGTGGGATCATGTGCCATGGGGGGAGTGGGCATCACCTGCCGACCGATCACACCTGCCATGTGCTCATTATCGTGATCGGGAAATAATGGAAAGATCCAGCATCAATTCAGGTATGAATAATGGACTAACAATTAGTATGAAAAAGGTCAATCAGCATTTGACTCAATGATAAATTATTGTTTGTTGACAAGGTCAAAGTATCAAATATAGAATTTCCAAAATTATGACATTAAACGAAACTGCTGATATTCTTGTTTCATCAACTTGTTTGTCAATAATTTACATCGTTTAGAAAATTGTCCAAAGACATAAATAAAGCATGCTCTTGCGTATTGATTCAACTGAGAAATATTCGTATGAAAAGAGAGAGAAACTTACCCAGGTTTTCCATTTCCTCTCCTGTTATATCTCACTCTGAAAGCAATTCTCTGACCAGCTGTTATTTGATATCCAATATGATCGAGACTTACCTATTTAATCGGAAAATGTCATTAAGATAAACCATATCAAATTTTAAGAAGAAACTACTTAACAAATCCAAAATAAGTGATGATTTTTAAGATAAATATTCAAGTTATTGAAGTATGAATTTTATTAGGGGTTGCAGAGGGTTAACTTATAATATTAATTTGATACGGACAGGAACTGCTCGTACTCGATCTAACCCATCATATCAATTTTTGCTTCTATCAGTTCCAATAAAACTGCTGAACTCAACATTAAAGTAATTGTTGTAAAGCGCAGTTTAAAGTTTCTGATACTTTTTTGAAACCTTTACGCAAATTTAATCTATCTTTTTTTAAGAAAAAAAGTAATTATGAGATTAAAGTTGTCTCTTATCAAAGACATCTTTGGAAAAAAATAAAGAGTTATTGCAAATAAACGTAGTATTTTTTTTTACCCTTTAATAGGTTGATTAAGAATGGTACTATAATTTTTAGGGACTTGAACTTGACTATAAATATTTACGACTCTCTATTCCAAAATTTGTGCATAAATTTAAAAAAAGAAAATAATAATAGAAATAGACATCTTAATTTCTTATTGTGTGTATCAAATGAATTAAGCTCATCAGATATTAAAAGAGATATTGAACAAATGAGTTTATATGCAACGCTTGCAATCTTTACTATCATGTTTGCAAACCAAAAAAGTCAGAAGATACTGACATATCCCATCCTTGAATCTTCTTCTTTTCCTCGCTTTTGGGATTCTAAATGCTCTAAAGTCTAAATATAAATATAAAACATTTTTAAAACCTATTTAATCGGAAAATGTCTTTAAGATAAATCATATCAAATTTTAGTAGAAACTATTTAACAAAACATTAAATAGTGATGATTTTTAAAGTTAAATAAAGATATTGAAGTATGAATTTTATTAGGGGTTGCAGAGGGTATACTTGTATTGATTTGATACGAACAAGACCTGCTCGAAATCGATCTAACCCGTCAAAGCAATTTTTGCTCTCATCAGTTCCAATAAAACTGCTGAACTCAACAATAAAGTAATAGTTGTAAAGCGCAGTTTAAAGTTTCTGGTACTTTTTTGAAACCCTTACGCAAATTTAATCTATCTTTTTTAAGAAAAAAAGTAATTATGAGGTTAAAATTGTCTCTTATCAAAGACATCTTTGGGAAAAAAATAAAGAGTTATTGCAAATAAACGTAGTATTTTTGTACCCTTTAATCAGTTTGCCTGTATCAACTAATATTTTTGCTGCTGTCCATAGATTTATTACTGAAACAAGTAGATTTTAAACTGATTTGTAATTAACTTGTATCACTTGAAAATATTATAAATATCATATTTTAATGTATTATTTGCATGACATATTGTTATATTTATGGAGAGGAACTTGTAAGTTGCAAGAACTTGTTTCCAATCCATTTGACTCGTTCAATAAAATATGTTTAAAATCAGTTGATTAAGAATGATACTAGAATTTTCAGGGAATTGAACTTGACTTTAAATATTTACGACTCTCTATTACAAAATGTGTGCATAAATTAAATAAAAGAAAATAATAATAGAAATAGATATCTTAATTTCTTATTGTGTGTATCAAATGAATTACGCTCATCGGATATTAAAAGAGACCTTGAACAACTGAGTTTATATGCAAAGCTTGCAATCGTTACTATCGTGTTTGCAAACCAAAAAAAAGTCAGAAGATACTGACATATCCCATCTTAATCTCTTCTTTTTCTTCTCTTTGGATTTAAATGCTCTAGAGTCTAAATGAAAATATAAAACA